AGCGGAGGGTTGGATTGCAGGGGGGGGGGGGGGGGAAGGGGGACCCTGCGGCAGGTAGTGGTTAACGGGTGTTGGGTTGCAGCGGTGCGGTCGGGGGGAGTCAGCGAGGGTTGTCTCGGTAGGGTGATTGACATGGGGAGGTCACAGCGCCGTCATCATGAGGCTGCCCCGGACCATGTGCAGGACACATTCAGGGCCCGCTCCCCTGTCTATCGGTACCTGGTTGTCGGCCAGAAGGTCGACAACAAGAGGGTCATGATGCTCCGTTGCACGTTTTGCAACAAAGTTTTCCAAGGGACCCAGTTTCAGGCCACGAGGCACTTTTCGCAGACAAACTACTGCAAGAACGTCAGCGACGAGGCGTTGTACAAGATTGCTCGACGGACTCAGCAGAAGTTTGAGGCCGATCAGATGGAGAGGGTGTCGAGGTATGCAGCGGAGCGCGGACTCGATGTGCCCGGCACGGGTGGTGCAAGGGGAGGAGAGGCGGGGCGGCGTCCAGCGGAGGGAGGGGTCGGGGGAGATGGTGGGCATGGTGCGGCAGACCCCACTTTGGGTGGTGGAGGCGGTGAGACAGAATAGGACGTGATCCACGTGGATCGCGAGGCGCATGGCCCGGGTGACGAGGGAGTCCCGGAACGGGAGGACGTGCCTAAGGTTTATCCAGGCACTGGGGAGAGGTTGGAGGACTGGCGGAGGCGAGCAGGCAAGGGAGCTGCAAAGGAGGGGTCTTCCAAGAGGAAGGAAGGAGGGAGTGATTCGGCTGCCACCCCAGCAGGGAAGAGGCTTCGGCTGCAGAAGGTGACTGATGTCTACGGTGGCGAGTGGGTTTGCCCGCCACAAGAAGGCATTCCTTCGCTGGTTGTATTCCAGCGGGGTCTCCTTCAATACCTTCCGCAACCACGTGTGGACGGCATATCAGCAGGTGCTTCTTGAGCAGCCTTGCAGTTCCCCGCGCGCAGTGCTGCCCAACCACTGCGAGATTGCGAGTATGAGGGCGGTGGAGACCCACCGTGCGGAGTTGGCGGAGGAGTTGGAGGAGGTGAGGCAGCCATTCTGGGTGACTTGTGCCACCCTCCTCTCCGATGGGAGGAAATCACGAGACTGGAGACCGATCGTGAATTTCCTTGCTGCTGGCTCTCGAGGGGTCGTCGTGTACACGACGATCAATCGAGAGGGCGAGCCAAGCGATGCAGTGCACGTCCTTCATAGATGGGTTACCATCTTCCACGAGTTCAGCTTTGGCGGGCCGCAGCGGATCAATGCGATATGCACTGACTCCGCTTCTGCCTATGTGGGGGCTGCGAGGGCATTGATGTCGCCGTCCATGCCTCCTGCACTGAGGAGGATCACTTGTCTCCCGTGCTCCGTCCATGTCTGCAACAAATTGTTGTCAGACATGGGGACGAGTTGCGACGCGTTTGTTGACGCGATCACACGCGCTCGTGTGCTGGTGGTGTTTTTCAAAACCCACCAGGCCGCCCTTCATTTTTTTAGGACGCGCAGCCCCGAGAAGGGGCTTATTCTTTCTTGCGAGACGCGGTTCGCGTCTGTTTACTCCATGCTGGAGAGGCTGTTGGCCCTGCAGGACACTTTGCAGGACATGATGCGAGGGGACGACGCGCGGGCTTTTGCTTCCATCCCGTGGTCCGCCGATGTGTGCGTCATGGCGCGGTGGGTGCGCCGACAGATCAGATGGGATCCATGGTGGCAGAGGGTGGCCACCATCGTCCATATCATGCAGCCCGTCATGGAGTTGCTTAGGAGGATGGATCGTGGAGGACAGTACATGTCCCTCATGATCGAGTGGACGCAGGATCTTGTCCGCCGTGTCACGGTCGCATGCGCCCCTTTGGGGACGTCGTTCGCCGACCGGATCATCAGGCGTGTGCAGGCTCGCATACAGCACATGCTTGAGCCGGCCCACTGCGCAGGGTTCTTACTGAACCCCCGCAGGCGACACGTTCGCTACTCTTCGGGGCAGGTGGAGAGGTACGATGCTTGGCTTGTGGGGCAAGCCAAGAGGTACATTTTGACGCACACGGGATTCAAGCTGGAGGGTGCGGAGTACATCCTTGCACGTCGGCAGTTTGAGGACTTCCACATTCAGCAGGGCAGGTTCGGGGATTGGGGCGGTCAAAGGGGCGTGCTCGTGGGCGCGCGTGCAGTGGCGATAGCGAGACGATTGAGTGCGCGTCTTGGTGGTCTCAGTTCGGGTCGGGCGCGCCACAGTTGCAGTGTTGCGCTCTTTGGGTGATGCACATGTGGTCTTGCGCTTCTCCAGCGGAGAGAAACTGGGCAGTCCACGAGGGCATTCACACGAAGAAGCGCAACCAGTTGGCCTTCGAGAAGGTCGTGCAACTCGTTGAGATCACCGCAAATGTGCGGTTGACTGAGTATCGGCGGGCTGCATGCGGTTATGTGCTGCCATGGCAGCGGGACGAGGGCATGTTGGTCTGCCAGGCAGGACTCCAGTTGGAGCCTGTGCGCACGGGAACTCGCAGGGGGATGACGGACGAGGAGATTGCCCGTCAGGTTGCACTTATTACCCGGGATCCCATCGGGGCGTCCGCACCACCCTCGGCTGATGCCGTTTTCGATAGACGTGCTTGCATTGTTCGTCCCTACCCCAGGGACGACGACTCAGACGAGGAGCCGATACCTGAGGCGGCAAATGACCCTGCGCTCCGCATTCCCCGGGAGATCGACGAGACGCACGAGGATCCCGGCTCCGAGGACACGAGGACACAGACTGCACGACGGGCGGCGGACCGGGCGGAGAGCGAGATGCTAGGGGGAGACGAGGACTTTTGGGGCCCATTCGGTGAGGTCGCTTCCACGGGCGGCCCAGAGGCGCAGGCGACGACCCCCACTTCGACGAGGCGGGATTCGTCCATGCCGCCCCCTCCTGCTCCGAGTCCTGCACCACGATCGCCCGTCCCGCCACTTTAGTCGGACAGGGAGGAGTTGGGGTCCTCTTTGCCTCAGCGAGGCCTTCTCCACAGAGGCGGGGCAGTCTGCCAGCTTAGGTTACGATCACCTTCCCCGAGGATAAGGCAGGAGGAGGGGGTACATTCGGCAGCAGCAGTGGAGAGTTCAATGGCACCAGCGGCTATGTCGGACGCGACGATCGCGGCCGCAGGGGAGGAGATAGCAACAGCAGCAGCAGCAGCAGTGCTAGAGGAGATGGCAGCATCAGTGCTGGCGGAGGATCCTCCAACGGCAGGAGGAGGTGCAGCAGTGGAGGGGTAGGTGGCAGCAGCAGGAGGAGCAGGTGGAGGAGCAGCAGCAGTGGAGGTTGAGGTGGCAGCAACACTGGAGGAGGAGGACGCACCATCGGCAGCTGCAGTGGCGGAGGAGATAGCCGCACAGGCCGAGGTGCAGCGTGGGGGCGATAACGAGCGCCTCATGCAGCAGTTCCTCACGGAGGAGCTCGGTCCGGCCATAGCGGGTTTGACCCCGGGTGTGGAGAGGGGGTTTAGGATTTCAGATTCGGAGATGGGGACCCACTTAGACTTGGATTTGTCGGTGGGCCTTCCACCCAGTTGTGGCGGGGCGACATCGACGGATCGGGCTCCATCGAGGGACGAGGCGCCAGGCAGGACTTCGACGCAGACCACCAGAGAGAGGACGACGACTCAGTCTCTAGATGCAGCACACGACATCATGGAGCGAGAGAGGGCTAGACTTTTGGCATCAACTGACCCTCGTGCTCACGCGTTCGCACGGGCCGTAGAGGACGCCAGGCGTCTAGAGATAGGGGGGGATTGTGTGCAGGGTGGGGTGGTGGCGGGGGAGGACGTTGCGGAGGGAGTGGCAGCAAAGCYGGTACCCGAGGCTATGCCGGGTGGAGCAGAGACARCGGACGTTGCTGTGGAGGRACGGACTCAGGYGGTSRATGAGGCAGTGCAGGCAGGACAGCGACGAGTCGAGGGGGTTATAGACTCACGACGCGAGGGGCAGGAGACAGCGACGGGTCCAGTCGTTCCGTTCTCGGGCCTGCACTTRGCTMRSSCC